GCGGGCCACGGTGCGGGAGCGGCGGGGCTGGAAGAAGAGCCCGCCATGGTAGACGACAGCCCCCGTGCTCTCCAGGGGCCGCGGCAGGAAGTGCACCTTGGCGGGGTAGCCCCGGGCCAGCTGCTCGGCTGCCTCGTACTGGAAGAGCTGACGGACCTCCGTGCCCACCGCGTCCACACGCCAGGTGGTCTCCCGCGTGAAGGGGGGCACGGGCTCGGGGTCCTTCATCCACACGCCGTACTTGCCGGCGATGGACTCTGCCCGGCCGAAGACGACAGGCTTCCCCACCCACACCAGCTCGCCACAGCCTGCTCGGGGACAGGAGGGGAGAGAGAAAGGGGTTACTGCTCGGCGGCGGCGCCCGGCGAGCCCCTTGGGAGGGCCAAGTGGTATTTGTGAGCAGCAGAGCATGGGGCTGGCCGGCCGTGCCGGTGGCAGTACCCGAGTCCTCGCTCCCCGGGCGGCCAAGCGCAGTCTCCTCCAGCAGCCGGGACACAGGAACCTCCGTCCTCTCCGACTGCAGCTCCTGGTAGGCGAGGGGCTGCGGGTCCCAGCGGGGGGCTGCGGCGGGGCCAGGCGCAGGGTGAGCAGGGGCTGAGCCAGCCCCCCTCACCGCCGTGCCTGCCCTCACTGCCCTTGGAGGGCTCCATGCTGGACCATTGCCCCCCCAAACACCAACGCCTCGGTCGGGAGCCCAGTGCCCCCCTTCTGCTGCAGCGGCGCACATCTGTGACCCGCTGATGGGGACCCTGCTCCACAGCTGCTGATGCTGTTGCCCTCCAGGTGAGGGGTTTAATGGTCCTTGGGGGAAACTCATAATCCCTCCAGATTAAAGCGGTCACCTGCGTCCCCCCTCTGCTGTGAGGCGGATGATGCAATGAGGAGGGCTCCAGCTGCCAGCCCTGATTTAGGGATGGAGAGGGTGATTGGTGCAATGGGCTGTGACCCCCCGGTACGGCTGAGCCCTGCAGCAGGTGAGTGCCCCGCCAGGGTCCCCAAGAGCGGGGGGCAGCAGTGGGTGCACAGCATGGGGGGCAGCGAAGGGACTTGACCAGTGCCCAGGGGAGAGGCACTGGCGGGGAGTTGGTGGCAGGGATGCACAGGGGTTCCTGGCCCCAGCACTTACCTTTGCCGGGGACACGCAGGGCGTCGCGGCTGGGCCCCTCTCCGCCAGGGGGGCAGCGGGTGGCCCGCAGCCGGGTGATCTCCTGGGCACTGCTCTCCAGCCTCCTCCCCAGCTCCTCTTTCTCCCGCTCCAACCGCCCCTTCTCCTCCTCCAGCCGGGACTTGGCCTGCAGCAGCTCGCTGTAGGCGGCCTCCAGGCGAGTGGCCAGGGCTGCTTGCTGGGGGTCCCGTGCCCCCCCTGCCTCACCTCCTCGTGGCCCCGAGCCCCCTCTGCCCCGCTCCCGGCTCTCCAGCCGACTTAGGCGGGCGGCAAGGGCGGCCAGCTCGGCCCGCAGCTCCGGCACGCGGCCGGCATCGGGGCAGGTGGCCTCGACAGGGCTGGCCACCGTGAAGGAGTAGGTGCAACGCCCAGTGCTGTCATCGGCACGCCGGAGAAAGGCCGTCTCGCCCCGGCAGCCCAGGGCCAGGCCCCCCCAGAGCAGCAGCCAGGCCCCCACCATGGCCCCGTGCCGTCCGTGCCCTCGGCGCCTCCGCTCCACCGCACGCCAGGCACAGC